AAAAGCTAGTTCTGAAAAGCCAATACAGAATCGATGCCTAAGCTTCTCTTGTGGCATGATGCTTAGCATTTGTTCCTTTATGTGATATAGGCAATGCAATGGCTTTCCTTAGATCGGTTACTCCGAGCAATGGTATGGATATTCTTGAATATTTCGATAAAAATTGCATCAATGGAGTATCAAGGGAGGTCACAACAATTCTCAATCCCAGACAGGTCGAATTGGGCCTCGATTTCCTCCAGAAACTTGAATCAGAGCACTCTATCCAACTAATAACTTTATAAATAATCAATGCGAAGGTTCGAATCATCGTTTTTCTAATCTGGTTGGGAATAAACACCCATCAATCTGGGAATTGATTAAAAAAAATGAAATGCGATGTGGCTGCCGATGAAACCAAACTTGAACGATGGCGTGTAAGTAGTTGGACACTGAAAACAAAATCGCAGTGCTTAAACAAGAAAAAATGCTGATATTCAAATTGGTACTGGGAAAAAAAACCCCAGTAAAATAACCCATGTATTACTTATTTTCGTAAAAATTTTTGCTATAGTAATAAATACAATATCTATCCTTAATTACTATATTAAGTAGACTAAATTTGACAAAATTTGCAATAAGATCTGTTTATTTTATTGATAAATTTATTATTAAATTATATTTTTATAATATTCTTTTCTAAAATACTAATTTGTAAATACCTTATATAAATCCAAATAAAAATATACCGATATTATTAGATCTTAAGTAAATTCGAAAAAAAATTTCGGGGTTTTTTTTCCGGAGGTTTTTTTCCGGGATTCAAAATTATAATCTTTGCAAAAATAATTAAAATAACAAAAGGAATAATAAAAGAAATTTCAATAATGCTTTGTCTATATTTTAATTATTTTTGCAAATATTATAATTTTATATGGTTTTAATTTAATCGTACCCCCCCCCCCAAAAAAAAAATTTTTCTGGCCCCCCAAATTTAAAAAAAATTATTGTAATTGATTTATTTTTATATTTTTATAATAAATTTTAAATATTTATTCAAAAAACATGTCTTATTTGTAAATTTCTTCCTATCCTATTTTATTTTTATCCAATATAAAATCATCATTCATTCATATTTTATCATTTTCTTGTGTGTTTGTGTATAACATTATATAGGCGCTTAATTATAACTTTTAAATTGAACTTATTTCAATGATAATTATTTTATTTATTATGGTTCAATCAAAATATTATTATCTTTTAAAGGTCTCTGATATAGATCTGGGTGCAAATCATAAAAAAACGGAAGCTAATCAAGTGGTTTCTCAAGGCTTGATATATATATATCAAATATAAGGAAACAGATTGATACCGATCCGTAAATATTTATTAAAATAAAAAAGGTTCTTATTAAATTTTTATAAAATTTGGTAATTATTGTGCAGTGTTGCTAAACAGCTCGATTTGAGCCTATTTTTAAAAATGGTCCGATTAAGATCTTAGACAAAATAATATTATCTAAGCCCGATATAACCAGTTATTTAAAACAGCGGTGAATAATTTATAATTATAAAGAAAATACTGAGATAACAACAATTTTGCTAAGCCAACAAATTAACCGTAATCTTTAGGATCTTAAATCAAGATTTCATGATATTTCTTAACATAAGCTATTTTTCCCTGGGACTGGTTCAACAAAAATTACAGATGCTGCAAATGTAGAAAACATAATTTATTCTTTCTGGACTATTTATAGCAATTTCATACACCATCCAAAAAGATCCTGAATTAAATAAAATTACGAAATTTATATACAAAAATACGCGATATACATACATCACCCAGATTTAAAAAGAAGTAATATCTATTATGGTAGATATGATGCTTGATTATATTTCAGATAAATATAATAAAAGTGAGATGCCTTTTATTTTGTCTTAAGGCTGATGTAACAAAAGATGCATCAGGTTTTGAAAATCTGAACATAATTATATATATTTTTTCTGGAGAAGTCCAAGAAAAATTAATAGGGATTATTAATTTATAGTGTCCTTCTGCTGAAACATTACTAATTGCATTTTAAAGCAACTTAATGAGTTAAATATTAATTCAACGAATATGATAAACCAGGCATATGATGGTGCAAACGTTATGTCTGGCCGAAATGGAGGAGTGCAAACCCTACTTCAAAAAAAAATTAATAAAAAAGTTCCTTTTATATTTGCTACAACCACATGTTGCATTTGTGGTTCAAAATTGGTAAAATAATATTGTTTACATTTCTAATTATTTATTCAAGGCATTGCATAATATTTAGGCGGTTTAACGTATCCTGTAAATATGCAGGCCATATTCTTAAGAGACTTTTAGACCAGAGGTGGACTGTGATTTAGAAACATCTCACATCATTTATGTTAATTTTGAGGCTAGGTGAAGTATTAGTTTATTTTTCTAATAGAACTTTTAATTCAGAGGTTAGCATTCATTGTCAAAGCCTCTGGTCTTTTATCTCAATACGTTAATATAAATTACATTATATTAGCCATTATAATTTATGAGATATTAATAACAATAAATCCACTATGTATCCACAGTCAGTAGGTACTTATCAAGTGGATGTAAAAATTGTTTTGATTCTACTATCAATACATTTAAAAAATATAAAAAGCAATAATTCTATTGATTTGATTAGAATAAAGGCTGAAAAGCTTTTAACAAAATTTAATCTCACTCCCCACAAATCATCAAGCGTACGTAAAACGCCTATAAATTTCCAAGATTTATTAGTCTAAACCAAATTACAATTTGATTGCGAAAACACTCCATTGGAGTTCTTTAAAATAGAATTAGTATGAAATTATTGATTACTTTATTGATAATTTTTTAGATAGATTTACACAAGATGATTATAATCATTCAAGTTTTAATGCATTGCCCCCCTTTGATAGTGATCATTTTATAACTAAATGGCCCGATTAGAATAATTATTAAACTTAAATATGGAAACTTTACATCATGAAATGAGAATTAACTAATAGATTATTAGCTGCAGAAGTTAAGGAAACCCATAATTTTGAAAATATCCTAAATATTATGTATAAAAAAATATCATCATGCATAAGAATTGAAATGCTACTCAGCATTGGAGTAACAACGGCTTCTTGTGTGGCTTCTTTCTCTATAATAAAGAGAGTTCTATCGAACACTAGAGGGTCGATGAAAGATCAAAGTAAGCAAAATTTAGTATTGATGGCTTATGAAAAAAATTAACACGAAATTTATCCTTTAATTCATTTATGTTAAAATTTAAAAATAAAAATCGTCGTATTATATATTATTATTTTTGTATGTTCATATTATAGTATTATTTTGTATTCATATAACATTAATAATTTTTTAATAAAAAGAGCAAAAAATTTCTATGAAGGCTTAATTATTTGTTTTATTTTTAAAAAATGGACAGTTGGCCCCCCTAACGCGAAATTCCTGGACACAGCCCTGATCGTCAATATGTTTCATTAAATCATCACAACACTGTATATATATATTTATACAAACGCCAATCAAAAGTATAAGATATTGTGATTAGTGAAAGAGCAAAATATTATTATTAAAAAATTAAACGTCAATTATTTGATATTGTTTTAGGAGGAATTTTTTATTACAAAAAAAATCATTAGTAACTTTTTTCACTTTGTAGGAAAATATATTTTGAATTATTTATTTTTTACTTTTTTCAAATTTGATTATTCTGGTTATAAATATTATATTATTCAATTTATTGAAGAAAATAAAATATTTTAAAATCCAATAATGGTGTCAATTTTAAAGTATCCATAATTGGGAAGTAATTGAATTAACTATATTTCAGAGGAAGTTCTAGGTCTTTGTTAATAAATATCAGTTTTTGTAGTTCCTTTTTTGAAAGTGAACATTTTTGTCAATGAACGTTGAACGCGCTCGATTTTTTTAGAAAGGTTTACAGCACTAAATTTTTGTAATATATATGAAATGTTGTCAAATAAGAATATAAGAAATTTATTTTAAAATTATATTTTCATTCTATTTAGGTTTGAACGTTGAACGCGCTCTATTTTTTAGAAAGGTTTACAGTACTAAATTTTTGTAATTTATATGAAATGTTGTCAAATAAGAATATAAGGAATTTATTTTTAAAATTATATTTTCATTCCATCTAGGTTTTTTTCAAAATAAATTTGAAATTAAGTATAAAGTTATTGTAAGTACTTGAATAAAAATTAAAGGATAAATAAATTTTAAGGTGGATTTTTTTTCGTTTTCGGTTCGAAAAATTTTGTAACAAATACATTCAAGAGAACTAACATCTTAAACATAATTTCAAAAATTATTACTTCATTTAACTGAGAATTAAATTTCCAATCTATACTTAGATGTATTTTTTTAAATTTCCAGTTCGAAAATTATTTAATACATTCGGGGGGGGGGGGGGGGCATTCACTTTTTTTCAGGGAAATTATTTTCCATCTTATATATTTTAAATCAAAAAATGGGAAATTATTTATTGGATTTTTTTCCGCTGACCACCCCAGGGATATTTTCCAACCGAGCAATTAGAAATGATTTAAATATGGCCACCCGAGCGATATTTCCCAACCGAGAGATACATACATACCCCACATTTTGATTGATAACCCCTATTTAAAAATAAGTTACAATATGCTTACTTTTTGAAGTAGTCTAAATAAAATATTCTATCTATAAATAACAAGAAATTCACAAAAATTTTAACGTTATTTATAATCTAATTACAATTTAGATATAGACAATAAAAATGTGATCATCCCGTACAAAATAATTTAACCAGCTAGGCCAAATTTTTTATAAAATTTTAATGGACTAGGTCTGACGCATTGTAAAATTTTAACGGCCTGGGCAAAAAAATTTAGGACCGGGCTAGGCAACTTGTGCAAAATTTTTTAACGGCCCATGCTGGGCTTAGCAGATCTCTATTATATATATTTTTTTTAATGTAGTTTTACCGTTGGTAATTTGCACCGCGTTGTGTCCATGTGGATGAATCAGATATTCAGGAATGTTGTTGTTATTCGATCCTTTAAAACTGGATGCGGTGGTAAGGTTATAAGCCGAAGAACAAGATAATGACGTTAAGGATGACACATGAAAAGAGGGGTAAGTAGTATTCAAATAACCAGGGTTATAAAATGAGTGGTGAGCGAGATCAGAAGAAGGCACAAGTTGATGGGCAGTGGTCGGATTACTTAAATATATAGAATTGGACGATATGGAATTTATTGTAAAAATAAAAATACAGTTGTTAAATATAAGTATTTAGATTTAAAAATGTGGTATATAAAAGTATTTTCGAGGTATCTGTTTCTATTTTCAGATACATTTTGATATAATTTTATTTTATGTTTTTTTTATTAAAAATAATATGTCCGAGTCAAGGTTGGACAGTAAATAATTACAGTTCAATTTTTATAATTAGAGATTGTAGTTAATTCCAATTTAAAAAGAGGAGTTGATAATTATAATTAATTATATTTTTCAGGGACGTAATTAGCAAGTATAAGTAAATTCATTATGATTCCTAATTACATTTATAATTCATTTTCTTATTTAATTAATTTTTATGAAAAAGCGTAATAATTGTAAATAACATTCATTCATATTTTTGGCCGAAATGGAAACATAATGAGTTCCTCTGAGATAACACATAATTGCTTAAGCGCTTCGTGTGCACTCTACCACAATATCATAACTTTAGGGCTACAATCAAAATATTGGGAAATGGTTCATAGATCAAAATCAGCAGAAATAATGAAAGAAATTTTGGGAATGTTTTATCTGTGCCTTGTGTTCCAAGATGGAATTCATTGTATGATACCTTAATAGATATTAATGCTTAAAAAAATTTAATTAACTAGATATATTCAATAATAAAATAATATATAAATTTTTTTCTTATTGCGAATAATTTTATTTAAAAAACGGTTTCAATTTATAAATAAATTTATATACGATATCAAAATGAAATATATTTAAAAAAACAAATAAGAATTTTCAATTTTAAATGATCACATGGTTTAAAAATATACATCTCAATTTTAGTGAGATATCGGATGCTTTAAAAGCTATCTCTATGAATCAAAATATATCAATATCTAATGTATTGAATAAAAAAATTTTGATATTGTTACAACCAACAGAGCAAGAATAATTATAATTGATGCAATCATTTGGTTAGGGAGGCAGGGCTTAGCATTAAAAGCTCATAGAATATCTGTTGGCCCCTTGACACTTACATAGTCTTCTCATAATGAAGGGAGTTTCAAGGAATTGTTGAAACTTTTATGTAATAATAATGATAACTATATAAAGTTTTTTGAAAACTCTGTTAAAAATGCCACCTACCCTACCTTAGTTCAAATATTCAAAATGGAATAATAACCATATGTAATAGGTTCATATTGAAAGAAATTTCTTCAAGAGTGAAAGCATCACCATTTTTAGTGTTTTGGTGGATGAGACTTCGGATGTTGGTAACATAGAGCAATTATTCATAGCAGTAAGGTTTATTGATATGGAATCAGGTGATTTCAAAATGAAGGAATACTTTGTTCAATTTATTGACTTACATGACACTAAATCAAAGACGTTAGCCAAAAAATTTTAGCAACCATTCTAGACCTAGATTTAAATCTAATGAGAGGCCAAGGATATGATAGAGCTCCCTCGATGAGTAGTCACGTTAAAGGGGTGCAGTCAAGAATTAGAGAGCTTTATCACTGTAGTTCACATTGCCTAAATTTGATGATATATGAGGCATGTGAAATTCGAGACATCCGGAACAGTTTACGTAAAAATATTTTAATTTAATTGGAATTTATTGGATTTTATTATGTATTATAGATATTTTTTATAATTCTAATAAATTTTTCAAAATATAGAAACAGTATAGTCGGTTTGTGATTTTTTACACCACCCAAGAAGAGGCAGTCTTTTAACCGAACGTTTATGCTATTGATTCAAATAATCAAAAAAAACTAAAAAGATTTTGTCAAACTATTTACTGAAAGACAACAATCAATGAGACTTTTCATCTAATTATATGAAGTTATTTTTGCAGCGCTAGAATCTTACATATCAAGCAAAGTAAAAGATTCCGCAGATGCTGAAAATCTTTTGCAGGCTATTACGAAGCCACATTTTTAATATCAATTCAATATGTATATTTTTTATTAAAATATACATATGATTTTAGCAAAATGCTACCTAAAATTGATGATTTAAGGGAGGTTAAGAATAGAGCAAAGGATAATGTTGTAAAGGAGATCGCTAATATGTTTGGGATTGAAATTTTTAAACCTAGAGTAGTTTTTAGACAGTCCAATCGCTTAAATATTGAAACATTTGACCGGTCAAATACGTTTCGGTCAATTGACCGATATTTGACCGGTCAAATATGGTCAAATACGGTCAAATGTGGTCAAATTCAAATATATGTTTTTTTAAAGTTAATATTAACTTTATTTTGAATAAAATAGTAAAATAAAATCTATAATATTAATTTTTTAAATTCATTGTCATTCAATAACTAACGTGTAGCTATTGTAGCAGAGTTCTGTTCTGATTCATTTTCAATATTATCATTTTCTTTAATATTTTTTAATCAATTTTCCTGATGTCTTAGATCTTCAATCGATTTCCATTTTCATAAGAATATTAACCCTAATCGACCTATTTCTTTCTAAAGAAGAAGTAGAACTAGGAATTGTTAGTCTCTTAATGGGCAGGGTGGACAAAGTTTAATCTATTAACTAGAGGTCGGAATTGATTGTTTCTCTGGAAATTATACTTTCCGCATAATTTGCTATATTAAACATGCTGTTTTTGCTTCTGAAATTAATTATATCACTTAAAATATTTTGGTCATCACTATCTTGTAAAAGAGCTAATTCTTGAATTATATCACATACTTGTGAGTTCTCCTCTTGATATTGTGAACACAAAAAATAAGCAAACATTGTGATCACATGTATTTACATCTTTTTTCCCTTTTTTAAACATATTTTCAATTTATTCTTCCTTTAAATTTTTTAGAGTATTTGACCGTATTTGACAGGTCAAATACTCCTCTGGTCAATTGACCCGTCAATTGACTGAATTTGACTGGTCAATTGACCGACTTGCCAACCCTGATTGAAACATCTAGATTGAGGATTTTTATAAAATAAATATTTTATTCCCCTTATTGATACATTTTTACTTCAATTAAATGAAAGATTTATTAGTCACAATTTTATTTTAAAAAGCTTTTATTTTCTTCTGCCAGTTGAGTCTGATTGTTGATTACACTTAAAACGCGAGAGGATATTAAGAAAATCTCATTTTATTCTGATGATTTATCAAGATCGCATGATAAGTACTTTGTGATGTCGTATTTTGATATAAAAATCTTGATAAAATAGAATACTCTTTGAGACCAAAAAACGCTTTGCAGACCCTTTCCACGTGTAACTTTAGATTCTCTGTCTATTTTTAATAAAAGTATTGCATTTGCAATATGAATTATTTATATTTTGATTCATTTGTATTAATTAAAATTGTTAAATTATATTTTTTTAAATACCGTACAAGAATTATTAATATTTTATTGATTTATATTTTTTTAAATATAGTTAACAATAAATTTTTAATATAATAATCTGTATAAAGTTCTACATTTTGAAATTTATTTTATTGTATTTTATCATTAAAATAAATAAGGGATGTTATTTATACTATAGTATTTTAACAATAAATAAAATCTCTAAAATTTAATTTAAATAATTATTTTTAACACTCAATAAGATATATTGAGTGATCATAAAAAATGGAAGGTTCTTCTTTCCACTGGATGGATTAATTTACAATTTATTAAACATTGATATAATTTTTAGAATAATGTTTCCAACCGTTTATTAATTATAAATTTGGCCAAAATTCTGTTACTTATATTCTTTCATTTATGCTGGCTACTATAGAGTGATTTACAATAATAAAGCACATATTAGCAAAATTTATAAATAGGGTTTATGGGCGAGGCTCCCAAAAAAATTTTAAACCCCCCTCCCCCCATAGATAAATCCTGGCTACGCCACTGAATACATAGTTTAAATCTATTTATGTGATTATATTTTAAAAAAAAAATAATAATAATCAGGGTTTCCCATTCAAAAAAGGAAAAGTCCCAATCAAAAAAAGTTTCAATCATAAAAGGAAAAGGTTCGATCAAAAAAGGAAAAGGCGCAAACAAAAAAGGAAAAGTGTCAATTAAAAAAGGAAAAGTCACTAAGGTTTAGGAAAAAGTCTGATCTAAAAAGGAAAAGTGCCAAAAAAAAGGAAAAGGTTCAATCAAATGTGTCAAAAAAAATGGAAAAGGTCCAATCAAAAATGGAAGTGTCAATCGAAAAAGGAAAATTCCCAAAAGGAAAGGAAAAGTGTCAATCAAATAAGGAAAATTCCTATTCAAAAAAGGAAAATTGTTGTGACTAATAAATCTTTCATTTAATTGAAGTAAAAATGTATCAATAAGGGGAATAAAATATTTATTTTATAAAAATCCTCAATCTAGATGTTTCAATATTTAAGCGATTGGACTGTCTAAAAACTACTCTAGGTTTAAAAATTTCAATCCCAAACATATTAGCGATCTCCTTTACAACATTATCCTTTGCTCTATTCATAACCTCCCTTAAATCCAAATCAATTTTAGGTAGCATTTTGCTAAAATCATATGTATATTTTAATAAAAAATATACACATTAAATTGATATTAAAAATGTGACTTCGTAATAGCCTGCAAAAGATTTTCAGCATCTGCGGAATCTTTTACTTTGCTTGATATGTAAGATTCTAGCGCTGCAAAAATAACTTCATATAAGATGAAAAGTCTCATTGATTGTTGTCTTTCAATAAATAGTTTGGCAAAATTTTTTAGTTTTTTTTTGGATTATTTGAATCAATATCATAAACGTTCGGTTAAAAGACTGCCTCTTCTTGGGTGGTGTAAAAAGTCACAAACCGACGATACTGTTTCTATATTTTCATTTATTTTTGTTATTCCTTCTTATTTAATTCTAACTTTTTGCGATTTCTTTACGTTATTTTTCTTACTGTATCTTTTCTCAATTTATTTCTAACTTTTTGCGATTTCTTAACTTTATTTTTCTTACTATCAATTTATTTTTCTTCTCATTTTTGATAATTCTTTTA